AAACACACCAAAAATAAAGGGATAAAAGCATTAATTAAAGAGCCTAACGCAAGAAGGAAAGCAAGTGACCACTGTCTTGGACACAGAATAGATTGCAAATACGTTTCGAATTCGAACTCCGAAACGAATTTTTATCAAATTTAACCTTTTCTGAAATTTAACGTTCGAAGTTAAGTTAGAATCGTTTGAAGTAGGAATTAGCACTGTAGAAAGAATACAAGCCTGCATGTTTTGTATCGATTTTTATAATAGAAAAAAATTTACATTATTTTGAATGTTTGAAAACTGAAAAATAAAACCCAAATATAGCTTTATTGTAATTTTTTAAAAATTTTTTCAGCTTGTGGGCTTGCTAAAAAGAGGACCTCTTTTTAGCAAGCCCATTATGTCTTCGGCCAGGCCGGTAATGGGGCGGCCGGTGGTGAGGGAGACAGCTCATCGCTTTAAAAATTTATGGTGATTTTTCGACCCGTCCAGAGCGGTAGGATGCTATCTTGACCGCTCGGCCATTCAGCCAACTCTTTATTGTCATTGAAGAATAAAAAGAATAATAAGTGAAACAAAATTGTATTCAGATTTGGGAAAATACTAAAATTTATACGTGATGTTCATAAGTACCTCTATTCAACATTGTCTAAAAATATTTAGCAGTCCAAATTCCACTAAATCTGGTATGGAGACATTGTAGGACATGTACAAGACACTTATTTTAAAAGAATTACTGCCAAAATTCTACACTATGACATTTTTGATGTTGCAAGCAGTTTCATTCGTAGGAACACTTAAAAAGTGTGATTTATGGAGAACATGTTTGCAATGTCTTCGACATCCTTAAAAAATAGTATCACACTGCATGTAAGAAGCATCATAGATCAATTATTGCACACACATGTTCATTGTTTTCAGGATCTACACCTTTAGCGAGTCCACAAGTGTCTAAGTGGATAAAATCACTGTATACTGGTAGCTGGTCCCACGACCAGCTATCAGTATACAGTTCGCACCTCGCCAACGGGCTGGCGACGTGGAGTTTTCCGGATTTTTTTCACTTAAATAGAGGCCAGTTTCCCATAAAAAAAAAAAAAAACTTTCCAGGAGGCATTTCTCCTCGGCAAATCCCTTATGTGTCGCGTTGCGTAGCGACCTGAAACTTAAACCTCAAAGTGGGGACCACATTGAGCAGTACCTCCTGAATTGCTAAGATCTTTATATTGCATGAGTGTGTTATATAAGTGTAATATGTAAACTATTTATTGCTTGCAGCGCCAAAAGTGCCATAGTGGAGCATTTTGGTATTAATTTCTGATATTTCCGTAAAAAAAATTAGAACAAAAGCCGAATATCTATCGCCTCGGCTATCAGACCGTGAAAAGATAGAATGACAATCCTGAAGAGCTAGCACGTTAAAACTGTAAGATCAGACCAGATTCCCCATTACAGGAACACCTAGCCATGAAGAAGATCAGTCACTAAATGAGGAATAACATCTGAATTCCTGCAATAAATTATGATAGTCTGGATCGGATCCTTCACTGAACGATTATCTAATCAACGTTCAAAATTCTTCCAATTTCTCTATTGCAGTTTTTTCGTATATTAACTGTGTTAACAAAATAGAAATTACTAATTTTTGAAATTGTTCTAATTTGTCCATTATTACCAATAGTGGACAATTTTAGATTTTAGTTTTTATTTAATTGACATGAGACGGGTAGTAAATGACAAATAAATTATTACTATTTAAAATTCCACGATGACAGTTTCAGTACATTCAAAAGCTTCTACGAATAGTCGTTATCTACAAGTAAAAAAAAAAAAAAAAAAAAAAAAAAGTCCACACTCGATTATAATGATGGTATCTATATAATTGAATGGGGGGAGATATTTGTTACCGATTTCTCGTTTACTTCTACACATAACATACAATGGACGATGCTTTTGTTGCTGTGATATGATGAATTAGGATCTGGTTCGCTTGCCTTCTTCCCATGGGTGGCATCGTGTCTGACGTCGTTGGCCTGACGAGGATAATGGATTGGGAGATTTCAGCGACACCGGAAGTGACACTAACACAGCGGATATTATATACTCGTCAGTTGTTGAAAAATGAACCCGTTTTTTTTCTCCCCTCCCTTCTCTCCCTTTAATATCGATGTTGTTAGTTATTTCGGAATTACGAAAAACCTATGCCTATGTTCTATGATTGATTAGCAACACCTGGCTGGGTTATTCAATACTATGATTATAGTTATCATCGTGGGATATTAGCAACAATTGGTCGTGACTAAAATGCGTTTATTCGACCTGGATAAAATAAGGCTGTCATATATGATGAAAAACGATTCATTGAACTATGTTCCTCGTACGTACTATTTCCTAGAAGTATCAGAAATCTACGTAATTGCTTAACTGTTAGAAATGAAATTGTTTTTTCATGAAATTCTTAGTAATAAAACGATATTAATCAACGTAATATTCTAAATTTCTACGCTTTTCTTTTATTATTAAAAGCGTATCGAATGCAAAGATCGTTCGCTTGATTCGTTAATTAAATCGTTTTATATTTAAAATAATAGAAGAAAATGAATAAATTTTAATATAAATAACTCGAGAACTGTTTTAAAAAATATAAAAAAAAGTTTTAGCATTAATTATTACTATTATTTTACCGTATGAAGTTCGCTAGTTTAATGCGGATTTCAGTTAAGTGATTCGATTCTTGACTTCATTTNTTTTTTTTTTTTTATTTTTTGTAAAATGTTAATATAAAATTACTTCCACTTTGAATTTACTCTAGGCACAATTAATGTCGATTTTTATTTTTTTCCCATTGTTATTTGATGATAATGTAAGAAAAACAGTATTAGTTTTTAAAGATACTTTTCTAGTTCTTTAGATTTTTATAATTGCAATTTCTATCAACAAACGAAAAAGAACGTAGGTTGAGACAAGGACGTTGCTAAGATGTCTTCAAAGATGATCCACTTTTAATATTTAATAAGCAAAAAAAAAATTTTTTTTAATACAAAATAGTTAAATCATTAAATCATTTTTATATTTTAAAATCCAATAAACAAAATTTAATGATTTAAATTATTAAAAGCTTATTTTAAAAACTAATTTTGAATTGGTTAGGCTAATTATAATATATATACAGTATATATTTTTTTCACTAGATGATTTACTTTTTTCAGATTTTGGAATAAGAAGAAAATGCTATAATATTTAATACTGAAATTAATACTTAGCTGTAACTTTAATTTATTTCTTACATATTTATATCAGTAATTCTTAACTTCTATCAGTGTTCTGAAATACTACAACAATATGTTTTTGCTGGGGTTAAGAAGATTATGATCCATTTTTTTTTTTTTGAGAGAGAGAAAGAGAATATTACATATTTAAGTTTAGAAAACATGAATTACCCTATATATAGGCCCATTTTCTAGGAATAAATTTAATTCTAATGATGTACGAGTTAAAAGCTTAAAATACTACTTCATATAATTGAATTTTCAGAATATAGGATTAATTGAAATTTATTTTATTTCATCTCTAAAGTGAATTTTGTTTTCTTACACTCTGTAATAATAATAATAATAATTAAATTACACATAAAATATTTAAACCTTTAATTCTTAAATACTACTCTCGTAAGTTCCTTTTATTTTCTAATAAGGATCGTTTCATTTAAGATTTTATAATTATGTTTATTTCAGAGATAGGATTGTATAATGTGACATATCTAGACTCTTCGATTACCAATTATGAAATTTCCAGTTTTGTAATGAGTTAGAATTTACAATTAAAGGATCTTTAGTTATGTATGTTGTCATTTTAATATATTATGTAGGTAAGAGATTTAATGAAACATCAGAATATTTTAGAATAATTTTAATTAAAATAAATCAAAAAGTATTATAAAATGATATACGATTTTATGTAACAAATAAATAAAATTGACTGTCTAAACTGTAGAATCTAAAGAAATATTTTTGAGAAAGGATAGGATTTGTTTAAGTACTAAACGAAAAAAAAAATGAGTATAATCTGTTTCCATGTAGAATGCATAGTGTGGAATAAACATAGGCAATTTATAAAAACAATGTTTTTGAATTTCTTTTGTTAAAAATACGGTTTTAATTAAAGCCATTAGAATTTAGTGGACAGACCTAGAAAAAATAAAGTCTTCTCTATCAATCAGGATTATAAATGTAGTAATTTATCAAATTTTATTCCATTTTATAACACTAAAAGATAGTAAAGATATTATTACGATAGACTTAATTTTTTATAAACTGGACGTATAGGCGGATAATATTATGGAAGATTTCAAATATTTAAATATATACGAATAGTTTTGAGTTTTATATTTGTTGTAAAACTAAGAATAAGAGTATAATATTTCATGTTAAGAATAATTTTCTACTTAAAATCAAGTTTCTAAGTATAGATATGAGCTTAAATTTAAATATAATCAAAAACAAATCGTATATTTATGAATAAGATTTTGTGTTTGAAGACAAGTGCATTAATTTTTTTTCCCCCTGAGAGAAAACATTTTTATATATCAGACTTTTGCCATATTGTAGCAAAGAAGATTATTGCAATTATTCTAGATATTTAACTTTTAAATCAATAAGCAATTCTGTAAATAATTTTTTAAATGTCAGTAGTTATGCTCTAGAAAAACAAAATATTGATGTTTATATATAATGAATAATTTATTAACGTCTGTAATATATTAAAATTTAATTGATGTTTTAAAGTAAAACTATTATTATTATTTTTTCTAATTTAAATATTTGCTATTTTTGAAGTTAAAAACTGTTCTTAACTTTCTAAAGAGAAATTGATTTTAGTATACCCCTATTAATAGTTAATTATTTATTAGTAATGAAGTGACCGTTCAGTAGAAATGTGAAATATTATATTTGATTCTTTGTAAATTAAAATAAAAAACTCATAAATATTTAATTATGTGTTTAGGATCAAACACGAACGAATTTCAGAAAGTGCTTAGAATATAATGAAGTTGATTCAAGGTAAAACATAAATTTACATATTGCTGCATTTATTAATGACAGTAACTGATAAGTTGAGAAAGTAATTAAGTATCTTGGAATAAAATAAATGTTGCGTCACGTTATCTGATAATATCAATAAATAGGTAGAGTCTATACTGCTAATGTTTAATAAATGTGGGTTAAGCTTGTTAAGTGAGTCACAAACCATTAAAGAATGCGGATATAAAGCCTAGGATGTGTTCTGTTATCCACAGCAAAATGAAGTTAAATTGCTTATTTTTTTTTTAACTCTCAGAATTATTTCCAANTTAATCTATTTTTAAAAATTTTTATGTTGGATTTTACATTTCAAGAAGATTGTTTTTAAATTATTTTACATTTCTTAATTATTAAAGAAAAGAAAATAATTAACTTACTACATATAAAAAAGAATTGCCCATAAGTATATTTGCTGTAAATTATTAATAAAATGATTATTATAGATGTGATCTTCATGATTGTTTAATAGACTGCTTTAGATTTTCTTAAATATCTAAAGCTACTTCCTGTGGGTAAAATCCCTTCCTAAGTATTTTGTAAATGGATTTCCCAGTTATGATATATTTCAAAAAATTTATTTAAGTAAGTTTTGCTTATTTCTTCTTTTATACTTTTTATTTTTCCAAATGTATAATATAACAGGTCATTATTTTTATTAAAAATTTAATGTAAATATTTGCTTACACATTAATAGATGAATTAAACACTAATTTTTTTTTAATTTTGAAGCAATAAAGATATATAGAAATGAAAATAAAATACAGTAAATAAATCGAAATGGCTTAACGCAGTTGTTTCAAATTATTCGTAATTTTTCTAAAATAAACTAATATTTGTTGATTTTTATAATAATCTACTGCGTGAAAATGAAAATTAATATTTTTTTGTTCTTATTATGTCATGTTTAACGCCAAATGTATTATTGAGGGTGTTGTGTTCCATCTAAATTAACTGCAAATTTAAGAGAGATAAATAATAGAAAAGTCTTTAGTTTTAGAATGAATTTAATTATATTTATATATTTAAAATTAACTACTTTAAATTATTATTATATTTGAAATTAAAATCTATTTCAAATAAGTTTATCATTTCTAAACAGCCAATGCCTATAACTTTTCACTTAATTTTTAAAATAATAATATATTAATATTCAAAATATAGAAAAGTTTATTTAAGTATAGTAATAATTTTAATTTAATTTTAAAATTATAAATACTATTATTTAATTCAATGAATTATATATTAGAACTTTTATTTTATTACATAAAAATATATTATGAAATATTTAAATATAAAATAATAATACCAGACTTTATAAATTATAAATGACTTGAGAATATAATGGTTAATTTGAATTAAGTTTATTGTGTAAGTTTATTATGTAAGGTATTAATTTAATTATTTATTCATTAGTAATTTTTATATGTGATTATGATTATTCACATATAAAAATTACTTATTAAATTGTATGCTTTTATAGTTTATATTCATTCATTAATTAAAAAATAATAAAAGTATTGTTTTAAGTAAATATTTTGACATTATATTATTATTATATACATTATCTATTATACTATAAAATGTCAAACAGTTTTATAATATTTAGAATATAGATAAATAATCCAACACTGTAACTTATAATAAATATTATTTCTTGGAAAATTATATATTGTTATGAAATTTGTTGCTGTTATTTATAAAATTAATCAAATTGTTTATTATTTTTGTAATTTTAAGTAAATAAAAAATATATTTGTTATTATTTGTTAGGATATTACATCATTAAATATATTTTCAAACATTAAATATCAATTAAAAAAGAGTAAAATTTCATAAAATTCTTTATTGTTACAAATATTTAATGAATAGTTATGAAAATAATACAAAATTATTTAAAATTAAATATCATCTCATCTGAAAATCAAAGAAAAAAAAAAGTCTTCCAATTCTACTAATATAATGAAAAGAAACAAATATAAATTTATATATTTTGATGGATTAGAGAAATTATAAAAAAATTTACTGCATCTACCTTTAATTATATGGAAAAAAATTGTTTGTCTAATTATAGATTATAAACAACAGAAAAGTAATTAATACATGAAGAATTCTCAAATGCAATTGTGCATATAAAAAGATCAATTTTGTATGTATAAATATTACATATAAGACTATATCTCTGTCTTTCTAACACAAGAATTAATTAATTATAAAATTACACAAGGTTCAATCTCTGTAAATAATTTTTCTGAATATTTTTAATTAACTAGATGAGATCATTGAATGCGATAATGAAGCAGACGGATGAATTTTAAACGGTGGTTTACAAAATGAGAACTATGAACTAATATTTGAGATAGCAGAAGTTTCTCTGTTGGGATTTATGGAGCTGTTGACCACTAATTAGTTTCTTGATGCACGGTTCCAAGCTTTAATTTCCCACTCGCAGATGCTGCTGAACATGCTGCAATGACTTGTCTTCAACGACCTCGTAAATAGAGCATCCAAATCTTACCAAATTATAACTTGTTTCCTTCCTTTTAAAAAGGATTAGAACAATTACAATTATCTATTTTGAAAGTATGATTTTATAAATATATATATATATATATATATTACTCTGTACCATTACTCATTTTTAAACTGTGTTTGTTGATAAATATCAGATATGAAATGAACATAACATATATAATAAAAATATTTAACTATATGTAATGTTGTATATAAAATAAGGCCAGTCTAACATAATATATTTCTAAATTATCTTAATAAATAACGTTATATGTTTATATATGTCAAGCTACAAAATCAGGTTTGTAGTGAAGGACACGAGACGGTATATGCTGTATATTCTGTGCTTTCTTGTGTACGAATTTATAAGTTATTTAATAATAAATATAAAGAATAATTTTTTTTATTTTAAATAATCAAATCCACATCGTTTTTTTACAGGTAATTGTTCGTTTCCTTCTGTTTAATACTGTTTTTTTAACTATAGATCTACAGCACTACGCAGTCCTATAATAGAAGTAGTATAATAGAATAACAAGTTTAAAAATCAGACTAACAGTAGAAAAAATTTTCTGTAGGCCTATATTAAAAATAGAAGAGAATCGAACATCGATATAAATAGTAATTAATACAACAATATTGATAAAACTATAAAACAGTAATCAAGCGTTGTAGTATTAATTTAATTACATGTTATGCTAATGAATTTTGTGAGATGGTAAAGAAACTATCACTAAACAAAATTTATCAATTAAAAAAAAGTTATTTAAAATATAATTAATCAATTTTTAAATTCATTTATACAGTTTATAATAATAATAATAATACCATTTTAAAAATTAATTTATGTATGTAAGAGTTTCATAAAACATTAGTAATGTCGTTTTCATTAATTATAAAAGTTTTCATTTGTAATTTTTTCAATCATCTAAAAACGATTTGACACTTGACACGAAATTTATTGAAGATAACGAAAAAAAAAAAAAAACATCAACAACTTCAATAACACACACACTTCAATCACATATCACATTATTATTTTTTTAACTTTTCCAACAAGAAAAAGAAAAAAAAAAAAACATTTTTCGAACAGCTACAAGACACCAAAACAATTGTTACTTTTCAATTTAGTTTATACTTCTAACAAACTTATCTTTTAATATCTTCACTCTACTATAAATTAGAAAATTAATCAAGATTTTCATATTCAAATGAGAAATTTTAATTGTTTGAAAGTAGGAGAAAGAATAATTGATGTTCAAAACTTCCATATTTTAATTAAACGATTTATTATCATTAATAATTCATTCTTATATTTAAAAATGTGAAAAATATTCATGGCAAATTCTCATAATTATTATAATTATTTTATTTGTTTTGTTATAGCGAAAGATAGCGTAATTTAATTTTTTTTTCCTCTCTCTCTCTCTTTGTCTTTTACCCTTCTCCACTTAACAATTTAAGTCGATAGAAGATTTATTTTAAAGTGTCTAAAGTTTAATGATAAGAAAGACGTAAGATCGTTCCTTTTAGTCGGGTTCTACACTAATTACACGCCATATCAGATACGTGGTCTCGAACTATCCGACTTGTTTCGTGTTCCCCATAATTAAGGAATGTATTTTTCACGGGGTTAGTTAGATAAACTATGTGAAACTTCCTGGTGTCTAGCAGAAAATATATATATATGATAAATTCGCTTAAGAGAGATTAACTGGTAGATACATTATTCCTATCTAGCCGAGTGTTTACCCATCATTAATATGAGTTATTGGAGGTGTTTATCAATCTTCGTTCACTTCCTGCAGTGCTGACTTCGAACGTCCCTAGATGCAGCAGGTGCAGTTGACATGATGGAAATCATCCATAATCGATTCTTTATCAAATTCATCGATTCTTTCGTTACAACCGATTTTCGGTCTTGTTATTGAGAATCATATAATACGTTAAATCATTTACCGTATTATTTTATTATTATTGAATATAAAATATTATAGATTTTAACCTCTCTCAACTCCTAGGATGGAAGTTTTATAACAGAATTTTTGATACGATCGATAGGTGAGTGTGAAGTCTTCCAATTCTACTAATATAATGAAAAGAAACAAATATAAATTTATATATTTTGATGGATTAGAGAAATTATAAAAAAATTTACTGCATCTACCTTTAATTATATGGAAAAAAATTGTTTGTCTAATTATAGATTATAAACAACAGAAAAGTAATTAATACATGAAGAATTCTCAAATGCAATTGTGCATATAAAAAGATCAATTTTGTATGTATAAATATTACATATAAGACTATATCTCTGTCTTTCTAACACAAGAATTAATTAATTATAAAATTACACAAGGTTCAATCTCTGTAAATAATTTTTCTGAATATTTTTAATTAACTAGATGAGATCATTGAATGCGATAATGAAGCAGACGGATGAATTTTAAACGGTGGTTTACAAAATGAGAACTATGAACTAATATTTGAGATAGCAGAAGTTTCTCTGTTGGGATTTATGGAGCTGTTGACCACTAATTAGTTTCTTGATGCACGGTTCCAAGCTTTAATTTCCCACTCGCAGATGCTGCTGAACATGCTGCAATGACTTGTCTTCAACGACCTCGTAAATAGAGCATCCAAATCTTACCAAATTATAACTTGTTTCCTTCCTTTTAAAAAGGATTAGAACAATTACAATTATCTATTTTGAAAGTATNTGTGTTAACGTACTGATCGAAACTGACGTGTTTCAGTGTAATAATAATTTAGTAAAAATTTTACTAAACTTATACTAAGTGATTGAACAACTTTATGCTATATATAGCATATGTTATATCCGTTCCGGTGAAGTGAATTTATTCTTTTTATATTGATCAATTAAATAGGAGCACGATAACGTTAGGCAAAACTCTTAATCATTCTTATTAAGAATGAATTGTAAATAACTACATTTGAAATATTAAGCTTAAAATTTAATCATTTTAATTCAATTCATGAATAAAATGAATAATTTTAACTTATAAATTAATTCTAAATTTTTGTTTGTTTTAGGAATGTTATATGTATAAATCAGTTAATTTTACTCACTTGTATCTTACATTAAATGTATTTTAAGTATTGTAGTTTAATTTACAATTTTTTATTATGTTTAGTTTTATATGTATTACCAGTTGACCCCCCTATAACACTGTTGATAATTCCGTTTTATATGAATTCCATGTTGTACGAGTCACTTAGATTTTACAAATACGTGAGCCGTTCACAGCCCGGCACACGTATTTGTAAAATTTAAGTGACTCGTACAACACAGAATTCATATAAAATGGAATTATCAACAGTATTATAGGGGGGTTGACTAGTAATCATATTACAATTCTATTTGATTATAGTAACTAACAAAAAGTTAGTCACATG